CTTTTTACATTTTGGGAAAAGATCCTATAAATTTTAATTAAGACTCTAACCTATTTTATTCTATAATGAACTTTTATCTTATGCATCTAATTCTGTTGATCTATTGAAATTTAACTTATTTTTGTAATTACATTTATTAGAATTACAGAAGGATTATTTCCACAAAAACACAAACTTATATGCACATATCAAGTCTTCACAAGTAATATATTATTTTGTTATAATTTTGGTGATTTTGATTCCATCAATGTCTCAATATTCATTGAATGTAAGGCTCCAAACAAATTGAATTGATTGAATTTTAGAGTGATTTGATTTGATTTGATTCATTCCGTAGTCAATTCATTTCAATTCATTTCATGACTTGATTTGAATCAATCAAACTGGATTCCCAAATTTTTCTTAATGTCATATTAAATACAGTGAATCTCAATGTAGTGTACCTCAATTTAATGGATAATAACAGTTTGAGGTTTAATAATAATAATAATAATAATAATAATAATAATATAATTCTTCTCAATATAATGAATTTCTTGATATAGTCACAACAGATAGATGGGACACATAATAAATAATAAGAAAAATTTTATATGTTTTTATATGTGAAACAAAAATTTTAAAAATCCATTATGATAAGTCCACTGTGACAAGGTTTGAATATAATAATAATGGATTTTGGAAAAAAATTTCTAATTACCCAAGCTACAAGATCGTGGGTGCCTTCAAAAATTATTATATTGAGATTGAGATTGAATATTTGATTGGATTGAGATTGGATTGAAATTGAAATTTTCAATCCATGATCAAAAATTATTTTATCAAGATGATTGACAATTATTAATTAAAAATGGAATTTTTCTCTTTTGTTAATCATCAAAGAAATGAATTGGACCTTGAACTTACAAATACCAACGCTAATGATTTTAGTATTGATGTCTTTGTTTTTTGGGTACTTCAATATTTTCCTTTTTTTTTTAAAAAAAATTTTTTTATTTTTTTTATTTATTTTTGTTTGTTTATTTTTTCAACCTTACTACCTGACCTAGATTGAAATTTCATATTAAAATTCGATCTCAATCTCAATCTCGGATCGAAATCAATCTCTGGAAATTTTTGAACGCAGATCGAAATAAATCTCAATCTCAATCTCAATCTAATAATTTTTGAAGGCGCCCTGTGTATATTTTAAATTTTTTAATTAATAAAGCATATTATTTAGTGATGGTAGCTGAACTGTTTTTGAAAGAAAGGTAGTTTTGTCCAATACATATAATAAGTATCTAAATCAATCTACTTTATTTTAAAAAACTCCCAATTTCAACCATTAAAATTAGTTTTGTCAAAATTTAGGCCAATTAATTTCACCAATTTTGGCCCATTAAGTGTAGTTTCAGCCACCATCACAAATTATATATTCGAATCAGTTCAAATCAAATTGAATCAAATCAGTTCAAATCAAATCAGTTTGAATCAATTTGAATCAAATCAGGTACAATTCGAATTTGATTCAATTTGATTCAAACTGATTCAAATCAAAAATTAGGCGATTCAATTTGATTCAAATTGGTTTGAATTTCATTGATTCATTTGGAGCTTTAATTGAATGTTTATAATTTTTTGCACAAAGTCAATTTTAAATAAAAATTTTTTTAATGTCATATCTATTCTTGGGTAAAATTATTATTAAAGTTTAACCACTTTGGTAAATCTAATATAAAAAAGTGTTAGGTAAACTCATTAGAAATTTTGAAAATTTTAGGGTAACCTATCTACGTAGTTTCTGGGGGTCCTTACAAATGCTATGTTGGGGTACAATAATATCAATGTAATACGAGTAAAATTTATTTCTTTCCGATTTTTTCCAATAAAATACTCCAATAAGTTTCATGATGATATTCAAATGAATTAGTTCCACCATATTCAGTTTCTAATTGTTCTTTTGGAATCAAATCAGTCAAATTCACCCATCCAGAATTTGATTTATCATTACAACTATTGTTAAGATCAACAAACTTTATCTTACTCTTGGTAACTGGATCAATAAATGGAGAAATAAGTTTAAAAAAACTCCAAAAATACCAAGGGGCTGAAGACAAAAAAAAAAACAATTAGAAATATTTTAATACATCATAATTTGACCTTGATATAATATATTAAATCACAATTACCATTTATAACTAACGCCATTGCTAATCTTTCAACATAATGTGAACTTAGCACATGCATAAATTCTTTTGCTGCACCTAAACCAGGGCTTGTACGTGCTGAACATTTATCAAAATCAACTAATAACACTATATTCTCTATATTTTTAGGCATTAATTTAATTGCTGCCTCAAAAATAAACACTACATTTCGAACTTGTCTGGGGCCTGGCTTGGTGTTTTCTAATCCTGGTCTTAAATATACAAGTGGTCTTCCATTCAAATCAAACCCATTTATATGAATTTTACCAGTAATTGCCTTAAAAACAATAGAATATGAGTTATTTTTTTTAGATATAATAAAATTTTATTTGAGAAAATTTTTTTTTACCTCTGGCTCAACTTCTTTTGGATCAATATCACTTGGTTTATATTCTCTTCTCCAATCTATGCTATACTTTATTCTATTTTTAGCATCATTCAAATTCCATTTAGATGCTCTTAAATATCTTTTCAAACATTCTTCATTTAACCAACTTTTTTCGCGTTGATAATTTGAATCTTCAATTGGTAATAATAAATTATCATAAACGAACTCAGTAAGTTGATTTAAAAGTAGTTGCTGACTTGATTCAAGTTCTGCAATAGAATTCAAAGGTTGAATATCATTTGGTGGAGTAAGAATCGGAATTCTTGTTGATCCTTTTTTTTTAATTTCATCTTTATTTTTTTCATCTAGGTTTTTTTTTGACAAATCTTTTTCACCCATTATCATCTAACTTTTAATGATAAGATTGGTGCTGAAGAGATGAAATCTATTTAAAGTTTTTTTTTTTCAGGCCATTTAATTGATTCAATTGATTTAATATTAATTGAATGTAACACACATTTAAAAAGTTTTATTTGTTTCAATTTCTAAATTCAAATTTTTTACACGAACTCACTAACAAAAGTTTAAAAAAGAATTCTTAGACCTGTACATCAAAAAATGAGCACAACACAAAACCTTCCACCCACTAATAGTGAAAGTGAACGTATTCGTGAACGAGGTGGATCTCGTTCTCGTATGCGTTCTACTTCCCGTAGTAGATCACCACGAACCAGACCCTCAAGACGTCGCTCTCCCTCAAAAAGTTCTTCTAGTAGAAGTCGATCTAGAACTAGAACTAGGCGTAGAATGTTGGTTCTAATTTCATCATCTATTCTGTATTTTTTAGTTAACAACTTAAGTGATTAATTATATTTTAGATCCCGAAGTCCTGTTAGAAGTCGTAGTCGTAATAGAAGACCTAGCCGTAGAGATGTACGCTTTATTATTGATACATGCATTGATATACATGAACATACATACATGTACAATTGTGATCAATTTCTAAAGTCATTATTATATAATTTTTTTTTAATAGGAACCTGACCCTAGTCGTGTATTGGGAGTTTTTAATTTGAGTCTTAGAACTGCTGAAAGAGATTTACAAAATATCTTTGAACGATATGGAAAAGTAAATCAAGTTACAATCGTTTATGATCATAGGGTAATATTAATGATTTTTTTATGTTTTCCATTGCTTTAAATAATAATGATTGATCGATATTAAATTACATTGTATAGAGTGACAGATCTCGTGGATTTGGATTTGTTTATATGGATTCAGTTGAGGAAGCAACAACCGCCAAAGAAAAAACTAATGGAATGGTATTTTTCACATTTTTTATTTAGGTTTTAATATTATTTAATGAATTCTTGATTTAAAAAACTATTATTATATCTAATTCTAGGAAGTAAATGGCAGAAATATGCGTGTTGATTATTCTTTGACACAAAGGCCACATACGCCTACTCCCGGAGAATATATGGGCGATAGACCTCGTTATCGTAGTAGTGGTAATGTTTATCGTCGTACACCATCTTATTCCCCTCGAAGATTTAATAGAAGAAGAAGTCCTTCAAGATCTAGGAGCCGTAGTTGGTCAAGAGGTCGAAGAAGGTCTCGTAGTAATAGTTTTTCAAGATATAGAAGAAGTTCACCAGGTCGTAGAAGAGGATCTCGTAGTTATTCACGTTAAATTGGTTGGTTGATAGGTTTATGAAATCTAAAAAAAAATAGAATTTAATGTTGCAGTAATTAATTACTAACAATACGATATGTGTGTATGCGCGCATGTATTCATGCATGCATATTAGTTTAAATAATAGAATTTCGGATATTTATTGACAGATTTGCGAATTTATATTAATTTTTTTTTTAAGTATTGTGATTGGGTATTACTACAGTTTCTTTTTTTTTAATATGTTTCAGGATTAAGAGAAAGAGAAAAAAGGGCCATCTGAAGAGTGAAGAATTAAAATATTTTGAAATGAATTGATTATATTCTTAATATATTAAATGAAGTTTTCTATTTACAATTATCAAGCTTTACCGAAATATCAATAACTTGTTTAGGAATAGGTGATAAAAAATTTTTTAATGTTATTTTTCCCATAAAATTTATATATAAATTTAATTTTATGATTATATACACAAGTAGGTATTAATGAATTAAGTATCCTACAAAAAAATTTCCATTTATATATACACACACACATATATACAATTTATTGCAAATCTCAACCTTTTCAAATGTTATACATTCAAAAATTCAGACCTTCAAGAATTAGAAATATCGTATATATAGAAGAAAGAAAAAATTATAAATATATGAAGGCATCGTTTCCACATTTGGAAACATGAAAAGAAAATAATTTTGAATACATTCGAAGAAAAATGAATGATTATACTTATCTCTCTCTTACTTTTAAAAGTGGGAGTTAATGAAGTTAAACGAAATCAGAAGGATTTGTGAAAAAGATACAATGAGTTAATTATTGATTAATTGATTGAATAATCGAATGAATATTGAATGAATGAACCAATTAAAGAATAATTTATTAAAACCATTGATCGAAATGATTGGATTTGAAGAGAAGTTTATCTGTTAGTGATCTAATTGTCTATATTTAACATGCCTTCCGATTTAATATTGAAAAGCGCTAAAAATAATTTTTAGTCTTTACAAGAATAGAACTTACGTATTTGGTAAAAGTGAATGTTGTTGCTGATCTACTGATTAGCCTTTTGATTTATTTAAACATCGTCGCCTATTTAATCTTCTTCAGGATGTAAAGTCAAAGCTACTTATATATATACTTTATTCTAAATTAGTAAATTTCTTGCCGATTCTTCCCTAGAAAAATTTTTTTATAATTATAATAAAAAACAAATAATGCATAAGCACAAATTACCTACTCAATTTCATAAATATGCAGAACGACTTTTAAAAGGTGGCGTTTATAAATCAATACCAGCATGGTATCCTGTTATGAAGGCTATTCCTCCTGGTCCTAGTATAATTCGTTCTCAACTTCATTTTAATGAGCCTTCAACAACAATTAGTAGTAGTAATGAATTTACTGCAACTGAAAATAGAGATTCCACAACAACAAACGAAAATAATTTTATATTTAAAACGAGCTCTTATTCTCAAAAACATTTAAGGGCAAAAATTCCAAAGCCTATAAAAATTAGATATGAAGAAGATGAATTAAGAAAAAGATTTTATCATGATCATCCTTACGAATTATTAATACCTCGAGTTTTAATAGAGAATAATAATGATGATGATATATCAAGCGAGGAAGAGGTTTATAAATCATTATTTGAGGCAGAGAAAAAACATTATAAAATAAGTGGTGAAAGGTTGTCTTTCTTTTGTATTAATATAGTATGTTTTTAACTTGGAAAATAAAGATTAACATTATTTGTATATATTATTAGTGTGATAAAATATCAAAAATTTTTAATGTCTACTGGGAAAACTAAAAATGAAGCTTATGTTGAAGCATGTAATGAATTCTACAAGATTCGAGCAAGACAAGAAGTTGAAGAACGTATTGCAGAAGAACAAGCAATAGTATTTGGATCCAAAATAAATAAATCAGAAGTTGAAAAAACATTAAAGAAGGAAGCTAAAAATCTCAAAAATTCAAATATAATCCAAATATTGAGAAGATTTTAAAACAATTTATGATTATAGATAGATAATCTTCATTTCAAAAACCATAAATATATTTTTTGTCAAGATATAATCATAATAATAACAGCAATATGTATAAATTAAATAATTTATTGGCAAATTAATTTCTAACAAAAATACTTTAGGACTTTGTGCCTTAAAATAAAAGCTCCAGCAACAGCAACATTTGCAACCACTTCAGCAGCTTGATCTATCGTATCAAGAGCAAGACCTCCATCAACTTCAGGAATTGTTTTCTTAATGTTTTACCTATCTGCTTAATATTAACAAGTTTTGTTAGGGACGTCTGCATATTAGCTAATGATTTTAGGTTTACGTAACCGTGTGGCAAATTTAAAAAAGATTGGCAAAGAAAATTTCACAACAAAAAAAAAGTAACTTAATATGTTTTTATACATATCATTTTTGAAGATCGTGGCAAGGTTGCAGTAAAGGACGGAATTTTTGTTTAATCCAATTTGTTATACAATTGCTAAGTAATGATAATTCACCATCCATCATTTTAATAAATAGTATTATATATTAAAAAGTAGTAACCACCCACCTTCTTTGATCACCCTATCAAATTCAATTAATATCAAAATATTTATATTAATATTAATATGTTGTGAGCTTAATTTAATCGAAATTCGTTAAATTTACAACATAATAATAATAATAATGAGTGATAATAATAATAATAATTAATAATAGATCGCTTAAAAATCTACTATTACTATATAAAAAATTGGAACTGTTCGTGTCACATTGCATACACAGAAAAATGAATAAACTTCGCAAAAACGGTTCACTACTTATTATCTTAAAAACTTTTCGAAAAAAATCTTTTTTTTCATCTATAAATTATCATTATCGGCAAACTTATACCGACTCCATTCTTCTTAATCCAGAAGGTCCCTTTCAAGCTCCTAGCTATGAACGAAAAGCTGAACCAAAACGTATTGATGTTAAAAAACTGCCTAGATTTGAACAAAATATTATGATCAATCCTTATGGTATTTTTTTCAAAAAAATAAAAGAAATTAAGCAGTTAAAGTATGATTGATCGATTTTATGTTTTATTTACAAATAAATAAATAAAATAAAAATAAATGTGTGCGAATTGTTTCATTAGCAACATTACTCCAAACACCTATACGTCAATGCATTTATCACGAAAGATGGTTCCCAACATGTAGGATTTTAATGCATATATATATTAGAACAAATGTATGTAATACAAATGATATGTATAATTAATATGTTAATTATTATAAATTAGCATTTCTAGTTCGTTTTATTAAAGCTTACAATGAGAAAACATCGACAACTTGGATTGTACCAGATTTTGCAGATGAAGGTGTAAAAAGACCAGGTAAAGGATTTTGGATAAGATGTAACTCAAAAATTCTACAATTAACTACTAAAGAAGGTATGAATGATAATTAAAGTATTATTAGTATTGTATAATAATTTATATATATCTTTTTGGAGTAATTTAATGAATTATCTATTTAAATTTTAGGGAAATACAAGTATATTGATAATAATGCATTTTGGAGACCTGATATGCATGAACATGTTTGGAATGTACTTCTTGATAGAACTCTGTCACAATGGAATAAGGTTTTATTGTATATTGGAACTAAAAGATTTCCTCATAGTAAAAATATAGTTTTTGTTCCAATAATTCCAATAGTCAAATCAAAATCAACAAATTTTGTAGAATATAAAATAGGAAATGAGAAATTATGGATTAATGGAATTAATTGTGTATTTATACTTGATCCTATAAAAACACAAGGAGATACTATTATTAATAATCAACAACAACACCCACATCAGCTAGTGCAATCAAAAAGAAATTCTATTTCATCAACACCAATATCTTTTATTAAAAAAGTTTCTTTCTATAATAGAGAAAATAATTTAATTTCATATAATGTGACATTTTATAATGTAAAAGATTTATTTGGGAATCATGAGTTGATTAGATTAAGAAAATTTTTAAAGTTAAATGACAATGATAATGATGTGAGAATGTTTGGTTTGGTTACATTTTTATCTACTAAATCACTTTCCATGGCTTTGTGGAAATTGCATTTATACTTACAAGACATTTAAGAATATATTGATTTTTAATGCTATCATTTAAATGACTTACTAGCATATGAAATAAACTATTAGAGAACACTATTTTATATATTAATATATTGAGATCACTATTGTTTGATTAACAAGTAGAACATCATATAATTAATGACCAGTTATTTTGTTAAATCCCCTGACCAGGAAAGATGCCCCCATCTGATATTTTTTGATTTGAATGTCAACATTTTAGAAATGGCTTGCATTATAATGCTCGTCAAGAGGAAGAAGCTAGATTTACTCAAAAGATTTAAAGAACATTCATCCAAGGCCAAAATAGAAAGAAATTATTATAATAACAAATACCAAATTAGCAGAACAAAGAAAATTAGTTAATCAAAATTATTCAAAGGGTAGAACACAGTATTGTAATATTGATACCACTGCTCATTATAGTTATGATTGAGCCCAAAATGTTCATGTGTCACATTCTGATCAACAAGTAAGTAAAATATATTACCTTAGTCCATGTAAAGTTCATTTATTTGGTATTCAAGACGAAGCAGTAAGGGAACAAATTAATTATGTTCTTAATGAAGATGAGATTATAGGAAAAGGTCCTAATGGAATTCTTAGCATGATTTTTGATGGAATTAAAAAATTGAATAAAGGTGAAAAAATTACTTGTGATAATGCCGTGGGCAGAATAAAAATAACACCACCATTTGGTTTTACTTGTATTTAATAATTTGTTATTAAGTAGTTACAATATGCATAGTATGCAAACCACCGTTTTTTCTTAACACCCTGTATATATAAATAATGATAATGTCTATATAATGTTTATACTAATTAATTAAAATGGTTTATTTAACTAAGTTAATCCTAGTATCCCATTTTATTCTAGACATTGTATCTACACTCTGATGCTTCTTTCCTGATCTATGTTCTGCTTCGAAATTATAAGACTGTAGTGTCATAATCCAACAAGCTAATTTCCCTTTTGGTTCCTTCATATTGTTTAAATACTTCAACACTGCATGGTCTATAATTAATTTAAACTTGGATCCACTAAGGTATATATGAAAATGTTTTATGGCCCATATAATGCAATCTAATTCTGTTGCTGCATAGTTCTTCTCTGCCAGTCTTAGTTGTCTACTAGCATATGCAATCACTCTTTCATTTCCTTTATTATCTAGTTGTGAAAGAATTGCTCCTAAAGCAAATGTTGATGCATCCATAGATAAGATGAATGATTGCTTCCAGTTTGGATATACTAATATAGGTTCAGTGGTGAGTTGTTCTATCAAGTCTTCAAAAGTTTCTTGTTATCTATTCGTCCAATTAAATTCCTCTCCTTCCTTTAATAGTTCTGTTAAAGGTGAAGATCTCTTTGCAAATCCTTTTACAAATTTTCTATAGTAGTTACAAAGTCCTAAGAAACTTCTAACTTGAGTGACATTAATAGGTTTAGGAAAGTTTTGCACCTTCTCTAACTTTGTTGAGTCCATCTTAATTCCATCTTTTCTAACTATGTGTCCTAAGAACTTCAACTCTGTATTTCCAATTGACATTTCCATGGGCTAAGTTTCAATCCTGCTTTTTGGATACATTTGAAAATGTTTTCTAGATGTTGTAGATGTTCCTCCCATGTCTTCGAGTAGATATTGACATCATCAAGGTATACTACTACTGACTTCCATAGCATGTCCCAGAGGACTTTATCCATCAATCTCTGAAAAGTTACAGGAGCATTTGTTAATCCAAAACAGTGTTGAAAATTCAATCGGGGGTATCACGTTACACCAAATTTCCATGTGCACGAAATATTTATTATATATTTATTTATTTTTTTGTGCTGATTATTTACACAAATTAAATTAAAAATTAATATCATTCAGGAATAAATTGTTA